GATCAGGACACCAGAAAGGAAAAACTCTTAGAACAATTCAACAGTGTACACCCGGCAATCACGTTCACTGGTGAAGAAGAATATGATAAAAAACTGACTTTCCTTGACATCACACTAAGTAGGCGAAGTGATGGTTCACTAAGTAGAAGCGTGTATAGAAAAAATCCCAGTGCTTGCCAATACACTCACTTTTGTAGTTTTACACCTATCCGCTACAAAAGAAATTTGGTTAGATGTCTCACTAACAGAGCAAATATGATATGTTCAGTGGATACTTTAAGTCAGGAGCTGGAATTCATCAACGGCTCACTAACCGAGATTGGTTATCCCAGCGCATTCATAAAGAAGTATATGTTTGCCGTAAAAAAGAAGTCGGTGGTTTCGACCGCCCAAAAGAAGCCTTTATTTATGAAGTTACAATTCAACGGAGATGTGGCCTGCGATACTCTGCAGGACAGATTAATAAGAGTAATTAATAGAACATTCAACGCTGCCAAACTTGCATTGACATTCTCCAGTCGACCAGCGATGTCTACCCAAACGAAGGATAAGTTACCTGAGTTGGCCTCCTCTATGTGCATTTACAAATTCAGCTGCTCCTGTGGAGATAGCTATATCGGGCGTACTTCCAGGCAACTTACACAACGAATGAGTGAACATCTCCCAGCATGGTTTACGAAGGGTCAGTCAAAAACAATACGCAGTTCTATCTTAGCACACCTGGTAGATAGTGGTCACATTGTAGATAAATCTAGATCTTTTCGGGTGATCTATCGTATACCTCCATCATTTCCCAACGGAGTTCGATCCCGTCTCCTACACATTGCAGAAGCCATAGGAATACGTACATTCAACCCTAATTTATGTGTTCAGAAGAAATTCGTGACACCCCTATCTCTTCCGTGGCCGGATATGACGTAACTAACGATTGACATTATATAGATATTTTTATTTATTTTAATTTTATTATTTTTACACATTTGCTTATTACGTAATGGTTTTGATGTTTTTTGATGATTATTTGAATTCTATTCATCCACCTTTGACCTACTTTAGTTATCATATTTTATAAATTTTCCTACTACTATCGGTTCACCTCTGTCTTCCTACTATCCACTTGTACTTTTGTCTTAGTTCATTTCATTGTGATTATTGACTCATAAATTGCCTTGATTGGTTTAACATTTTCATACATATTTATGTATATATTATGTATGTATATATTAGAGTAAAGCAGCCTGATGACGATCTAATCGTCGAAAACAGTAATATTGTTCGCTTATATCTGTGTTGTTCTAATTTTCACAAGGGGAATCTTTAAAATAAAATTTCTTCTTGAATAATTATAACTAATTTAAATACAGTTTCCTTTTCTTTCTTTACTTACCTCTTATTATGCAAAAATAAATTTAATGTACATTTTATGCTTAATTCTTAAGCGATCGGATGTTTTGTATATGGGGTTATTATTAATATCGTTTTTTGTACTACAATAATGATTCTATAAAGACAAAGATTTAAATAGTTTATTTTCGCGTATGAAAATTATTACAGCAAGTTTCGTTTTGCAGTGCTTAACCCTCATGATATATCCTAAATTGTAATATTTTTTCATAAGCTTCAGGGAAACAACAATTGTTCGTAAAAGTTTCTGTGTACGCGCGCACTTAAATAATATTAGATACGATTCTAATAGATTGAATTTCATTTGTTTTAAACAATTAAACAGAGGTAATTTGTTGATGTTAGGCAAACAATAGTTAACCTAGATATTCAAGTAAGCTCATGCGACATACATTAATGTTGATCAACAAAGATTAATCACTATTAGCATTTGAAATGATTTACACACAATCTCGTAAATAATCAAATGTCACATATTAGCTGTAAAATGTCAGCTTTAAACAAGTCAGTCAATCAGTTGGTCAGCTGACCAACGCGTACGTACGTACAAAGTTCAAGTTGACATAACACATTAGAACTTCACTGGTCACGTCTTCCCACTAGAACTCGGAGTAGATTCCTCACGAAGCTAGTCACTAGTGAGCACAGGTAATTTACATAACGGGGCTGTTGTGAAGACTGTTAAGTTTTATTTGAAACCATGAATCGATCAATGGTTTCAAAAATTTGTAACTTAACAATCTTCATAACCCCGTAGTGCAAATTACCTGTGCTCACTAGTGACTAGCTTCGCGTGAGGAATCTTCTCCGAGTTCTAGTGGGAAGACGTGACCAGTGAAGTTCAACCTGTTTGGGTGTAGGCAGTTTCTGCCGAAGACTGTGTATGAGGTTGCGCTACTCTGTGAATTTGACCAAGTTAGACATTAACACCCTTAGATACGGGCTCAGTGGTCTAACGGTTGGGGCGTTCACTCACAATACCAAAGGTCCTGGGCTCGAATCCTGCGAAGTTCAGGAGTCGTGGATGCGCACTGTTGATGAGTCCCATACTAGGACGAAATGGCCGTCCAGTGCTTCCAGGTTTCTAATGATGGTCTAACATTGACCGATACGTGGTTTCAAAAATGTGTAACTTAACAATCTTCACAACCTCGTAATGCATAATACATTAGAACAAAGAGATTGGATTGTCAATTCAAATCTTATTGTGTTAGAAATAGTAGAAATATTATTAGTAATAATCAGAAAGATTCGGGAATCGAACATGTTATTGAAAAAGTATAATCTAGTGAAAAAAAACTTGGAAAGAAAACGATAGATTTGATGAACAATTCAAAAGAGTACAATTGTAGTAAAAACACAAAGAATGAATGCATTTTTTACCACTGATCAAATTTATGCTTCCGACGACATGTACTAGGAATATATATTTCTTGTTGTAAATTTTTTTTTCAGTCAGAGTTAGACATTAACACCGTTGGATGTCAGCCGGCCCAGTGGTCCGATGGTAAGGCGTTCGCCTACAATACCAAAGGTCCCGGGTTCGAATCCTGCGAGATGCAGGAGTCGTGGATGCCACTGATAAGTAGTAGTCCCATACCAGGTAGGACGAAACGGCCGTCTTTCAGTGCTTCTCCCCCAGGTTTCTAATGGTGGTGGTCTAACAATGATTGATTGATGATTTCAAATGTGTACAAAAAAATGACTTTATTCAAGGTCAACTTGACTTTCGATTATTATTATTATTAATTATTATTATTATTATTATTATTATTATTATTATTTCATGATGAGCAGTTTTAATGCTCATCTAATGCTTTGATTCGTTATTTTCTTTCCTTTCCAATTTGATAAAGTGGAATCCATGTAAATAGCAATAATAATAATATTAATAATAATAATAATAATTATTATTATTATTATTGAGTTTTGTCCTTTTTTAATTGCTAAAAGCATTTTTTTAAAGCAACAACAACAATACAGGAAAAACAAACTTGAGTTGATTTGGACTGTATTGAAGATGATAATTTTTTTCTTGTTATAGAAAAAAAAATTCATTATTGCATTTTGTAAACAATTTTCTTTGTTTCTCCGAAATGAAAAAAAAACGAAAACAAATGGTTAAGATGAATCTAATTTGTTTTGAAATCATAAATCGATCAGTGTTAGATAATCGTTAGAAACCTTATGTGCAGTACGCACACACGGCTGACTGTTTCATCCTAGCATATGAATCATCACTGGTGAACAAACATCCACAACTCCTGCTCAAGGGAATCAAATACATAGATCTTCGATCTCGTGTGCGCGAGCGCTTAACTTATGGACTACTTGAGCCGGCATTGATTTATGCGTTGTGCGGGGGGGAGTGGACGTGAATGCACACACTGTTGAGGAGACTCATACTAGTATTGTAGTGAACGAGAACACAGGTGAAGGCAACCGAATTGTATTTAACGAAAATGACAGAGTTGCTCAGTAGAAATAGGAAAACCATATCGTAAATCGTTCATTTGCAAAATATCATTTCATCATACCGAAACGGACTGTTCCTGTTGCAAAACATCAATCCATTGTCACTACTGTTCATGCGTTTCATACAAATTCCATCGTGTTCTTCTAACTCTTCCTTTCTTGATCTTCCCCCATCTTCTGTTGCCAGCCATTACGTTTACACTCACGTCATATACTACTTATAAGTAGCTCACACCACACTAGGATAACGAGATGGGGCAGCCCGTTGCTTTCACTTTTCTAATGATAGTCTAACATTGATCAATTCATGACTTCAATGAAACTGAACAATCTCCACAATCCTATATAATGAATATTTTTTATAATATCTTTTATTGAATTATTTTATAATATTTTCAATTAGAGTTATGGAGATTTTTTGAAATCATGAATCGATCAATGTTAGACCACAACCATTAGAAACCTGTGAGAGGCACTGAAAGACGGCCGTTTCGTCCTGGTGTGGGACTACTCATCAGTGGCAGTGTGCATCCACCACTCCTGCATCTCGCAGGATTCGAACACGGGACCTTTGGTATTGTGTGCGAACGCTCAACCTTCGGATCACTGGGCCGGCATCCAACGGTGTTAATGTCTAACTCTGATTGATCGAAGGATTTTGCGCGACCTCACCCATTATTTGTCTTTAGTAGTTACTGCCTACACCCGACAGGGTTGAACTCCTCCACTGGTCACGTCTTCTCACCCTAGAACTCCAAGAATTTCCTCACGAAGCTAATAGTCACTGACTAATGAGCACATTTCACAATATACCGAAGGTCCTGGGCTCGAATCCTGCACGAAGCAGGAATCGTAGATGCACACTGCTGATGGCATAAAATTAACATGTCATGGTCTTTTATGTGATATTGATTGTATCAGAAATATATATGTATGTATATATATACTCCGCTTAGTTAGTTTCCTTTTTCAAATTAACTAAATAATTCAGCTTGTGTAAAGTTTGATTTCGATAAGTCATGAAATGATTGCAGAGGGATATGAAAACCCTAAAAAAATTCATTACTTTCATTTATTATTAAAAATTAATGTATAATCCATGTTTACTTTTTCTCTGTTAGCTTAGATCCAATCAATGAAGAAGCGAATCTTGATCGATCCATGTTTGATAGAGGTAAACTTGTCAAAATTTTACGAATTGATTTTGTTTTGTTTCTTAAACTAATCATAACTAAACACAGATCAATGTAAAGTAGAATAATTTTCAGCTTTTACTGTGCTTGACACTGGAGCCGTCATCTAGCGGTGTTCATGTCTCACTTTGGGAGGCCGGCTCCAATGATCTCTATTTGTTTTTGGCGTTCATGTGAGAGATATAAGATCTTAGGTTTGATTTTCTGCGAGTAGTGAGAGTCATGAGTAGTGCGTGTCGTAGTACTAGAACGAAACAACTGTCCAATGCTTCTTCCAATTTTCTCAAAGGTGGTCGAACAATGAATGATGATTCATTGATGATTTTTCAATGGAAAACAACCATCTTCATAAGAGAATATTTATTTTTTATTTCACACTAGTTATGTAAGTAGATTTATAAGTTTCATCATACTTTTTAAAATTGTTATTAAGTTAAGAGTATATCTGTTAGGATATTCACCAAATATCCTAAGAATACTATTTTTAGAAGTGCAATCCTATTGGTCGATTTCTATTGGCCGAAATTATGATCGTTCTTACCGTCAGGGTCAAATACTTCAATGTTACCTCTAATTGGTCATCTGGACGGTCAATGTCATTCAAATGTTTTTTTCTATTGGTCGTCCTAAATTGTCAATGTCACGGATGTTGATGCTTTTTCTTATTCGACCTTAGTGTATAAATACTCGCTATCTGGAAGACTTAATAATTCCGTTTCCCCTGCCTACTTCTTCTTCTGTTTACGACCCAATAAACATCTTCCTTTCACGGTGTTACGTTCTGATTTCTAGGAGATTTGGATAAGCCTTTTCGGTCGTATTGTGATATTTGAATTGGACGCCTTTAGGACTGAAGAGTTTTACGTAGCCGCGTTTACAACAATATCTATATAGATAAAGATGAAAATATAACAAATAAGCTTTAGTTATTACAACTCTTATCATTTTCCTTTATTATATATAATAAATCATTTTGTTAGGATATTTGATAAATATCCTAAAGAAATTATTTTATGAGTCTAATTCCTATTGGTCAAAAGTTAAGGTCGTCCAAAAAACAATCAAGTTCACATTTAAAATGTTCTTTCCTATTGGTTAGCATTCACGCTCGACCTAACTGTAATAAATACGTATTGTCTGTAAAGTTTTATGATCCTTCTTCTTCTTCTGTACTAAACCTCATATTTTCTGGATGCTTATAGAATACACTTTCTAAGCCATACCAAGACTTATTTTCCTACTTAATGGGGTCTTGTGACGCTTGGATTAGAGTAGCCTATTGTATCACTACACTAGATCATTTGTCTTCGCCTCCCTCGTTTACTGACCAAGATGAACTCGTAATAATAGTTCAAGCATATCATATGACGATTATAACAAATTTAAATAGAAAATTGTGTAAAAAAATGATTAGGAGAAATAAAGTGAACATTATTAAAACTGTATGGATAATGTTGTTTCTGTCGAAATCCGTCATAATATATTTGATTAAAAATAGAAATTACACTTATGCTGCATAAGAAAAATGTCAAGTCATATTGTGGTTTGAGCTACTTATAAGTAGTATATGACGTAATTTTCGTTCAATACAATCCGGTTACCCCACCTGTGTTCTCGTTCACTACATTTGGTGTCGCTGCCAGGATGAAGGAAGGAGCTCCCGTGGCCGAAGGTGTTGGAGGACGGAGATTCGCGGAGCCGCTGTGGAGCTAGTGGGGGGCCCTGGGCGGAGTCGACAGTGCTGGGGACGCTGCGGGGAGGTGAGGCGAAGGCGGTATACGACAGCGTGGACGGTGCTGCCGGGAAGACGGCATGGGAGACGGTCACCGGGCGGCTGATGACGGAGTTTGACAGCGCTATGGACAGGGAGGAGGCGTTGCAGAGGTCCCGGTTGGCGAGTCTGTCGGCTGATGGAAGGTGATATTAACTGACCAAGGGCCCTGTTTTGAAAGACTACTACGACAGCTTATTAAAAGGGGGGACGAGTATGGTGTGAGCTACTCATAAGTAGCATATGACGTGAGTGTCGACGTAATGTCTGGGAGCGGAAGATGGGGAGAGATCAAGAAAGGAAGAGTTAGAAAACAATGGAATTTGTATGAAACGCATGAATAGTGACAATGGATTGATGTTTTGCAACAGGAACAGTCCAGTTCCATATGATGACGAACTGATATTTTGCAAATGAACGATTTACGATATGGTTTTTCCTATTTTACTGAGTAACTCTGTAATTTTCGTCGAATACAATCCGGTTGCCCCACCTGTGTTCTGCTTCACTACAATATGATATCAGTCATCTAGTTTAGTGAAATTAATCAAACTGAATGTGACATATTTACCTTGAAATCATGAATTGATCGTTGTTAGACCATCATTTGAAACCCAGAAGCATTGGATGGGCGTTCGTTCAGGCCTATAATATGGGATTCATCAACAGTGCACATCCATGACTCTTGCTATTCGCCCAATTCGAATTAAGGACCTTCAGTCTTCTGCGCAAGAACACTAGACCTCTTCTGGGCTGGCATCCTACAGTGTTAATGTCTAACTGTGATCTATCTAAGAAACTGGTTTCACCTCACTTATTGTCTACAGTAGTAATTACTGCCTATACCTGAGAAGATTTGAATTCCGCTGGTCATATTGTAGTGAAGGAGAACACAGGTGAGGGTAACCGAATTGTATTTAACGAAAAAAATTACAGAGTTACTCAGTAAAATAGGAAAACCATATCGTAAACGGTTAATTTGCAAATCTTCAATCCATCATCAATCCATTGTCTGACAATTCACTATTCATGCGTTTCATACAAATTCTATTGTGTTCTAACTCTTCCTTTCTTGATCTTCCACCGTCTTCTGCTGCCAGACATTACGTTGACACTCACGTCATATACTACTTATAAGTAGCGCGCACCACAATATTACACAATCAGTTTGGGTTTTTTTTCATTTCACCTAATATAATTTACTTTATTTTCACATAAGTAGTCATCCAAACAATCACTGCATATTTCGATTACCATTGTTTTCAATACATCATCTATCTGCATGACAATATTCATGAGTACTAAGTTTACTAATCGAATGACTATTAAAGGTATTCGTAACCAGAAGATAGAACTATGTGTACATATATACCATAACACTGGGTCATTCATTATCACGTGACTATTATCCATATAAAAAAAAATTGAATCACTATTTTATGCCTTTTTTCAACACATAGACAATGAACAAAGAACCTATGATAAAGACAATCAAAGTAGAGAAAGTCTTAATGATGCTGACGATGCTGACAATGCTGACGGTGACGGTGACGCTGACGGTGATGACAATAGAAGTCGCGATGAAAATGATGTAAAAATAAAAGATGCAACGAATAGTTCCAGACGTCATTCAGAGATTAGTTCAACAAAAAAAATTAAACCAATCCCGAATGCATCATCATTTTTTATATTTAGTCCAACTAATCCGTGAGTATAGTTTACTTTTTTTCATAAAAAAAGAACGTTTAAATTGAGTTACTTATGGAAATCAATGTTACAGTACCATTAAAAGGCCTGGCAGCGTTGTTGATCGGTCACATACCAGGATGAAACGGCTGTCTTTCAGTGCTTTCAAGTTTATCATGGTGTGGTCTAACTAACTTTGATCGATTCATGATTCTAATAATTAAAATGATGTAATTTTATACACTGAGTATATATCGACCTGTAGCTTGTTCTGTTACAGGTCAAATGTGGAGAAATTCGAATGCTTCACTTCAGCTATCTGAAGTTTGTGCTACTGATGATGTTCATTGTTCAGTAGAAGAATAAACAATGAAAGCTCCATAACCAAACTACAACCAGCTCAGAGAACAAAACACCACCACCACCACAATCATCCACCTGAGCTACAAGTTTTCTCCACCATCTCAATATCGATAAAGTATATAGAATTACTACTGTATTTTTCGGGGGGCATTCTAAGGAAGATATATTTTCTCCAGTCCATAAGATCGTTGGTGGACACTTCCGGGTTTCGATTTTACAAAACTCTGATGATGTTGTTCAAAAGAATAATAATTAAGGCTCCATGACCAACTCCACCATAATCTAAAAACGCTTTTAGTTTTACATCGTTACAGTTAAAGGTTCAGAGAGTTATCTACATTTTAAGTATGAGTAACCATAAGCTCTCTCCTGTTCTTGCAGCTTAGTTAAACACTTATTTCGGTAATCGAATTCCATTGGAAAGAACACATACAAAAAAACTGACACTTCTTAAATTATTTGAGACTATGTATATACTTAACTCTGCCTGGTCATGTCATGTCATGTCAGATGCAACGTAGAACTTCGTACGTAAGTACATTAGTTCATGTGAGTAGAATTAGTTGTGGAGAGAGGAGAGGTATGTGTGGGTGTGGGAATGATTTGATTTCGACCAATTTGGTCTCTCGTGCTGTTATGGGTATGAGGGCGGTTGTCACTTCCCGGTTGCCCACACCGTGGAAGGTTGTTTCTTGAGGGACCTGAAAAGGAAGATAGATTTCTGTTGGTCTTGGAGACCTGGGAGCGTGACCGCAGAGTCCAAAGGGACAACTGCTTGAGGCCGGTCACGCACGGCCTTTTTATGAAAGGCATTTTCAGGATTATCTCCGTTCTTAAAGGCCCTTAGTGGGTCCCCTTACCCAAGGAGACGGAAATCCGTGAGGTAGGGTGAGGTGTGACATTTTTAGGGCCGACCTTTTCTAACCCTTCCTTCCTTGTGAGAAGGCAGCATCGCTGCAGATGCTGGTTGTCTGAGGGAAACACCTTACTGCTGTCACACCCCTCCGCAGTCAGTCAGCAGTACGACTTCGCCCTCAGACCTTGGGTAGCTGCTTTTAGTCTCATCGTTCTCCAATCGACCTGCCTGGCATGGTAGGACCTGCAGGAACATGTGTTCCAGCCAGTATAGCTCGGTTGGGTTATCGTGACAGGCAAGCCCGACCACTACGTCAAGGTAGCAGCTACGGTTGGGAAACTGCCTGGAGCCTTTCTGAGATTACTGCGCCGATACATCATACGCCAACCAATCACACACACAATCAGTAAAGCACAAATTCACAATTTTCCATAAAAAAATGTTAGCACAGTTCTGCTGTATGTGGCGGATAACCTGTAAATCTAACAAAACCATCAGCCGGAAGACACAAGTATTTATTAACAGTTGTCTACGTGAAATACTCCGGATTTGTTGAACAAACACCATCAGCAACAACCTACTGTGTGAAAAAAACAAACCAGATTCCAGTTGAGTAGGGAAATCAGGAAGAAGCGTTAGAAGTGGATAGGACACACAATGTGGAAAGAACCTAACTGTGCCCTAAGACAAGCCGTCAACTGGAATCCTCAAGGAGAAGAGGAAGACCAAGCAACACACTGCGACTGGAAATGGAGATATACATATATAAGATGAATGAACCACTACTGGACACTACTGGAAAGGAAAGCTTAGGACAGAGTAATTTTGGAGAAAGCTTTTCGGTGACTTTCAACGTATCTAGATTCTATTAAAATGAAAATTACCTGAAACTGACATAGACTATTGCCTTATATCAAATTTAAATAATTTTTTACAAATTGTATGAATTGAACATTTGATGGATAAAATAATCTTGGGCTATGATCAGAAAGTGTTGAGGTCACATATGTTTGCCAGACTTCAACAGTGGATTAGTTTCCTCGAGAAGTTATAGGCGTAAATTATGTGATCAATATATATATATATATATATTTCAATTAGAGTTATTGAGATTAGTATTTTTACAGATTGAAATCAACTATTAATCATTGTTAGACCATCATTATTAAACCTGGAATGGAACTCATCAAAAGTGTGCATCCATGATTCCTGTACTTCGCGCATGAATCAATCTTGCACGCGAAACCTTAACCTTAAACTCAGTCAGTCAGTCAGTTGCAACGTAGAACTTCGTACGTATGTACATAAGTTCATGTTGCCATACCACATTATTAGCACAGAGATATAATTGTCAATTCAAATCCCGTAGTGACTAAGATAGTAGAGGTATTAATGGTTATGAAGAAGACTAGGGTTCGAAGATATTATTCAAGAAGTATAATTCAGTTAGATAAGGTTAGAAAGACAAAGGTAGATGTGCTGACGAATCCAGAAGGTTCGGATTTGAGAGAGCTCAATGAATGGATGCACTTGCGCCATCGCAAACGATTTTGAGCCAGGTCGTTCAAGGTCTCTAAACACTGGTGACTTTCGTCTCGCGGACCTTAACCACGTAGCCTACATCTACCAACATGGCTCAGTCCACTAGTCAGTGACTTCATGGATTTCTGCCATGTTTTGGTTTGGCCGCCCCTAACCTATTCCTACACTACAAAACAAAGCTCGTCGAGGCAGTCGGTGGTTAGGCATACGCAGCACATGTCCCAACCACCTCAACTGATGAAGTTTCATCACTTCATCGATTGATCTGCCATCCTTGCCTAGCACCCGATTCCTAATAACAGCGTTGCTCACTCGGTTGTCCCACGGTATACGAGCAATGCTTTGAAGACACCTATGATCGAAAACCAGTAACTTACGAACATCTTCTACTCTTAACGGCCATGTTTCACAACCATAAAGTAAGACGGAGCGGACTACTGCACAGTACACCCGCCCTTTGGTTAGCAAACGGATATCACGCCTACGCCATAAGTGACGCAGGTTTAACAAAAGCCAATGGAGCTTTCTGTATCCGTGCTGAAATTTCGTCAGTGACCAAGCCATCAGAACTGATGAAACTACTAAACTGCCTATCACTAGTTCAGGTTCCGATGCAACCCAATCTTGAAGCAACATTTTGCATTTCGAGGTTGAGAACCACATCCCGAACATGTTCGCATTGTTGCTTATAGTATTCAGAAGACTCTACATTTTGTCAGCGTCTTCACCAAGTAGAACTATGTCATCGGTATATTCTAAGTCACTAAGCGAACTACCTGGTAGAAAGTCAACTCCTGAAAAATCTAACGAGCTTAATGTTAACTCTAACTTCATACTAAATAATACTATCAGAAAAAACACAATTTATTTCTCAATACACGTATACTTGAACTTTTATCCTTTGAATAATTTTAATGATACTTGTTTATTTTTCTCTCGTTAATTTATCTCCTTTCTTTTTTTTTCTTTTTTTCTTTTTTTTTATACTTTCTTACACATTCAATAGATTTCGTGTAGCATGTCATGAAATTTGTAATCATAATTATTTTAATAATATTGTTCTTGTGTGTATTCTGGTTAGCAGTGCTATGCTTGCTGCTGAAGATCCATTAGATGCATCGTCAGCACGTAATCAGGTAGATTGAAATTGTTTTTTTGTTTCTTTTTTTTGAAGTGTAGTTTCTTTTTTGAAGTGTATTTTGTAGAAATAATAATCATAATTTTCTATGCCTGATATAATCAGTTGATTTTTTCCATAGTTCAACTATTACTTACTTACTTACTTACGCCTGTTACCCCCAATGGAGGAGCATAGGCCGCCCCGACCAGTTTTCTCCAACCAACTCTGTCTGTCCTGGGCTTCCCTTTCCAATTCTGTCCAATATTTGTTCATTCCTCTCATATCTTTCTCTATTTCTCGGCGTAATGTGTTCCTTGGCCTTCCTCTTTTCCTTTTTATGCCTTGAGGGTTCCATGTGAGGGCTTGTCTTGTGACGCAGTTAGGTGCTTTTCGTAGTGTGTGTTCTATCCACCAGCTCTACCGCTTCTTCCTGATTTCCTCCTCCACTCAAGGAATCTGGTTTGTTCTCTCCCACAGTAGTACGTTGTTGCTGATGGTGTCTGGCCAACGAATACGAAGTACTTTGTGTAGACAAATGTTAGTAAACACTTGTATCTTCTGGATGATGCCTTTGGTAGCTCTGCAAGTTTCCGCTCCAGACAGTAGAACTGTCTTGACATTTGTATTGAAAATCCTGATTTTTGGTTTTGGTTGAAAGTTGTTTGGAGTTCCAGATATTTTTCAATTGTAGAAATGCAGCCTTCGCATTGCCAATCCATATTTCTCATAGCATAATTAAATGGGAAATTAAAAAACGAAATGAATTTGATAGTTAAAATTTTTTTACAATCTTAGTTCCTTACGTCTGTTATTACCCTCAATTGGGGCATAGGCTGCCGACCAGCATTATTCTCCAACCAAATCTATCCTACTTGGAGTTCCTTTCGCTTTCTACCCAAGTGCTGTTCATGCTTTATTCATGCCTGTTTCCGATTCCCGGCGTAATTTTTTCTTTGGTCTCCCTCTTTTCCTTTGACCTTGTGGATTGCAAATTAAGGGTTTGTCTCATGATGGAGTGGGGTGCTTTTCGCAAAGTGAGTCCTCACAACTTCCACCGCCTCATCCTGATTTTCTCCTCCACTGGAATCTGGTTTTTTCTTTCCCACAATAGGTTGTTACTCTGATGGTTTATGGCCAACGGGTCCCCAGTATCTTGTTTAGACGATTGTTAATAAACACGAGGCTTTTGTGATTCTCTTGAGAAGACTGAGGCAGTCGCGGAAGAGTGTATTATGCAAATTTACACTCTTGGTAAACATTACATTGAATACTCTATTTGCACACCATCTTTGAGTCGTGACTTCCAACGCTCCATCCTTCTTCCATTCCTGTTGGTACTCCATTTACTTCTTGCTTTTGCTCCATTTGCTTTCCGTTTTCCTCTTCTGACCGTGAGACTTCTTCTTTCACGCCTCTTTTTATACTACTTATATCGTTCGTATAAGTAGCACACACCACACTCTAACTTTCCGCTCGATATATAGTAGGATTGTTTTGACGATTGTATTTAAAAATTCTGACTTCGATGTTAGTTCCAGTTCTTCAATGCTGTCCTTGTTTTGTTGTTAGTGATATTTATTTGAATTGTAATTAAATGGTCTCATTCGGTGCAACAACCTGTGAGGATTGACTTGATATTATCTTCAAATCACAAACAATCCTAAATATCAATGAGGAGATCTAAACACAACCAATCCCAATGAATTAAATTTCATGCTGTCGCCTAAGTCCAGTTGTTGTGCACGAAAACCCAGGTGAGGACATCAACAATATCGTTAAGCGAATATTACATAGTTGTTAAGAATATGTACAAAACCTTCCTGTGAAATCATCATTTGCAAACTAATTCTTATTCGTTTCAAATTTCAGTGTGTTCTTTCATTTAGACTGTTCAGAAGACTTCAGTTCACTTTACGTTCGTTACCTACCTACAAATCGCCTTCTGTTCTCACATTCTTTCCTTCTCGATCTTTTTTTTGCTGTCAGACGTTTGATTTCCAATTTGATATCATATACTACTACTTATGTGAACATAAGTAGCGTACACCACACAGTGACACTATATGAACTCAGTGTAACTGAGTAAATAATGGTGCTGGCATTTAAAGTGCATTGTACAATGTTCAATTCTTGAATTGAATATTGATTCTGGGATGTAAGTAGTATATCCATCCATCAAACTAATCACTAATGGACAGATGGACAGACAATATGCATCTTAGATTACACTATTCGTCACCATCATCTATTTCTTACTCACATATATATATATATATATATTCATTAAATAAGATTCCATACTTGTTAAAAATGAACTCGAAATGATGTTCGATAAATGAGACAAAACACAAACATCCAAACTGTAGGTAGGTCATATCATTTAAAAAAAAAGCTAGGCCATGTTAATTAAGAACTTTTGATTAGATAAAACACGTTTTTTTTGTAATGATAAAATGAATTAGTGTGTATTGTATACACGTAAATTAGCTAATTAAAATTTATTTACTGCTAAACAAAACTCATAATAATAAAAGAATAAATAAAAATAAATTTAAGCTTTCGCGTGTGAATTTGAAGATCCTGGGTTCGACTCCCAACGTGCAGATGCATAGTGCTGAGGAGTCCCATACTAGGACGAAACCATGGTCCAGTGCTTCTGTTACGCCTGCACGTAAACACGTCAACTTGATATACTTGAATTATTACGAGTTTACCTAGTTGGAAAACGAGGGTGAGGATTGAGGATCCGGCGACACGACATGCTACTCAAATCCGATTATCCCAACCCCCCATATTGAGTAAAAATAAGAAGACTTGATATGAAGTAGAACCTGTATTCTACAAGCATCCAGAAAGTACGAGGTCCGAATCCAGAAGAGAATCAGGATCCCGGACTAGGGATCCAGGACCGAGTCCTGGTCCTAATCCTGGCCATAAAACATTACAGATATTGCGTATCGAAGTCTGTGACATTGACAGTTAAGACGACCAATAAGAAACAACATTGGAGTGCGTGACATTGATATCTACTAGGACGACCATAAAATTGACCAGTAGGAATTAACCAATAGGAATAGACCAATAATTCTCTTAGGATATTGGATGAATATCCTAACAGCTTTCAAGTTTCTAATCATGATCAGTTCGTGATTTCAATGAAACTCAACAATCTTCTAGAATTATTTTTTGTCAATATTTTTAAAAAAATTTAGATTCATTCATTTTACAATGGCTGACTTTATTGATCTACGTTATACAACCCTAATTCGTTGTGACTTGTCATTACATTATTGTTAGGTCACACACAATAGGTTATCAAAATTTCGCTCTGATTATTTATCTTGTAATTAAAAAAACGCTTACGTTTTGAAGCTGAAAGATATTTCGTCTGTGTTATGAATGTTAATTTTTGTCACTGATTAATTCACTTACTTACTTGCTAACTCACTCTTGCTACACCTTGTGGAGCATAGACTGACGGTCAGTATTCTCTAATCTATCCTGTTCCTTTCCAGTTCTACGATAATTACTATTCATTCATGTCTGCTTCCAATTCTCGACGTATTGTGTATGTTCTTTGGTCTTCCTCTTCTCCATTGGCCTTGAGGTTTCTACATCTCAGTACTTTCCCTGTGACGCAGTAAGGTGATTTTCTTAGTGTGTGCCTATCCATCTTCATCGCCTTTTTCCTAATTTCTACCTCTGAACTTTCATCGTTTCATTGTATAATATATCATTGTGGATTGATCGAATTGAATGAAGTTAGACATTAACACTATTAGATACCGGCTTAGTAGTCAAGAGATTAAGTGCTTTCTCGTTAGACTGAAGCCAGTGGGTTTGTTTCCCATTTGCGATTTTGTGAATGAGTCTTCTATTGTGACAAAACGGCCATCCAGGGATTCTAGATTTAGCACTGTGGGTCTAAGATAATTGATCATTGAATGATTTCAATACGAACTTTTTTTCTTGTTTCCTAAATTAAAGAATGTTTTTTCATTTTTTTTTTAGATTTTAAACTACTTTGATTATTTTTTCACTTCAGTATTTACAGTGGAAATTACTCTGAAGGTAAGTTTAAAATATGACCAGCGATACATTTCATTCAGTGATCAATCTCATTTTAACTTCTTGTCAAAAACAGTTTATGCTCTAATATGACGTTGAAAAATAGTGATTGATAATGGTTTGTATACTTGGTAGCTTAATAAATGTAAGATATGAGAAATTCGGAAGTGCTTCTTTGCTAAAGTTACTTCAGTATTTCTGTCAGTTAACATGTTATATTTTAAGATAGAAAAAATGAATCTTCAAAAACATTTTGTAGCTGTAGTGTGTCTTTATTCTGCGTGTTCTTAAACTCGGTAATTAGCTCGTCCAGACAATCGTTATTAAATGGCGTCGGACGGTATATAAATCAGAAGGTGAACTCGAAGTGATGAATAAGTTTATTTTTGGACACACCACAAAGTGAAGCGGAGAAGCAGTGAATAAAACGAATGAAGCGACGTGAATTGGATAAGGCTGTTGAGCCAACTCCAAGAGATAGAGCATGACTAAGAATAATATAGTCATACAAAAATAAGACAGACATATGACAAGCGACGAATGGTTGACAATGTCAAACGACAAATGGGACAATTCATGTGAGCTCATACAAACCAGACAATAATAAGAACGAATGGTACATCTAAATCTACACCAATGGCTTGTTTAAATAAATTATTAATCGAAAGAGCTTAAACAAGTTAGATGTAAGCGAACTGGTATATATGTGGAGGCACTACATAGTCTTACTCTGATATGTTGTACACAGTGGCAAATCGCCTAATAATGCGATTTACGATACTTCTGCTGGAGACGAGGGATCGTTTATTGTTATTATGAAAAAAATACCAGTTTATTCTTCAGTGTTTTTGAGTGAATCTACGACATTTTCAATTCTTTTGCTTTTATAAAGAGATATGTAAAGTAGACGAAATGAATATGAAACTATCCAAATTCAGTTTTATCCTTTTTTCTGGGTTTGATTGCCTCGTGCGAAGGTCATGGATGAGTGCTACTGATAAGTCGCATACTAGAATGATAAGATGGCCGTCCAGTGCTAGTTGGTTTCTAATAATGGTCTGACCATGACAGATTCATTATATGAATAAAATATAATACTTGAATTTGTCTGTACCAAATGTATTCCAATTCATTAGAGTGAATAAACTTCACAGTCGATCTAATTCTGTCTACCATGAGATATGATTTTGTTAACTATTAATGAAGTCACGTTTGTTGGTTTACCTTTCTACTGACATGTTCCTTACTTACTTACTTACTCCTGTTACCCTACTCTTCCTGGCCCTTCTTTTCTAGTTCTGTCCAACTTTTGTTCATTCTTCTCATGTCTGTCTCCATTTCTTGGCATAATGTGTTCTTTAGCCTTGTTCTTTTCTTTTGTCCCTGAGGATTCTAAGTGAGGTCGCAGTTGAGTGCTTTCCTGAATCTGTGTCCTATTCACTTCTACCGCTTCTTCCTGATTTCCTTCTCCACTGGAATCTGGTTTTTCCTCTCCCACAGTAGATTGTTGCTGATGATGTCTGACTAAGAGATCCTCAGTATCTTGCATAGACAACTGTTAATGAATACTTGTAGCTTCTGGATGATCGATGGCTTTGGTAGTTGTCCAAGTTTCCTCCCCATAGAGTAGAACAACTGTCTTGACATTGGTATTGAAAATTGTGATTTTGGTGTTGTTCTACCGTAAAAACATGTAGTCGTTGCTTTCCCTATCTGCGCCCTCACATCTGCATCAGATCCACCTTTATTATCGATGATGCTGCCCAGATATATAAAGATGTTAACGTCCTCCAAGGCATCTTCAGCAAGCATGGTTTGGTCGGTGCATGTTGTGCTGTGTCCGAAAATCTTGCTTTTTCCTTCATGTATGTTGAGACCTGCTGTTGCTTAAGCTGCTGCTACACTGATCGTCTTCTCTCGAATTTGCTGCAGCGTGTGCGGCAGAAGAGCCAGATCACTACGAAGTCCAGACCATCCAGCTGCATCCTGGCTGCCCACTGTATGCCGTGCTTTCCTGCAGATGCTGACGTCTTCATTATCCAGTCGATCACTCGGAGAGAGAGAGAGAGAAAGGGTGACAGTAAGCAACCCCTCATCTCAAACATGCCATCCTCTGACATACTTATCTGTATATTTACCTCAGTGTGAACTTATTATTCTATTTATAGACAAATTATATAAAAACCACTGTTAAAGATTTTATTTATCATATATTTTAAAATATGATCTATCTATCTATCTATATGTTATCTGTATGTTAATATCATTTTCTCTTAGATTATTACCTATGGTTTGGTATTACATAAAGGAGCATTTTGTCGTAGTGCAAATAATATGTTAGATTTTATGGTAGTTATGACATCGATTATTTCTTATCCAATTGAGTAAGTTCCTAATTGGTATTTAATTTATTTATTTTTTCTAAATTTCTAATAAATATCTAAACAGAATGCATTTATCAGTGATTCTTAATACTATGACTTTCTTGGCTAAATGAAATAAATTTGCAAAACGAAATATCTATTGGAAATCTAGGTGTTTGCTAGCACGACCAAAGGTCTTGGGTTCGAATCCTGTGGGTAGCAGAGGTCGTTGGTGAGCACTGCTGATAAGTCTCGTACTAGGACGAAACTACAGTCTTTGAGTGCTTCCAGGATTTTATAGTGGTCAAACAATGATTCATTCATGAATTCAAGGTAGAACGAAATAGTTGTGTATAGATCACTTCACTTCACTTCACTTATGCCTTTTACCCCCAATAGAGCATAGGCCGCCCCGACCAGTTTTCTCCAACCAACTCTGTCTGTCCTCGGCTTCCCTCTCCAGTTCTGTCCAATGTTTGTTCATTCTTCTCATATCTTTCTCTATTTCTCGGCGTAATGTATTCTTTGGCCTTCCTCTTTTCCTTTGGCCTTGAGGGTTCCATGTGAGGGCTTGTCTTGTGATGCAGTTAGATGCTTTTCTCAGTGTGTGTCCTATCCAGTTCCACCGCTTCTTCCTCATTTCCTCGTCCACTGGAATGTGGTTTGTTCTATCCCACAGTAGGCTGTTGTTGTTGATGGTGTCTGGCCAACGAATCCTGAGTATTTTACATAGACAACTGTTAATAAACACTTGTATCTTCTGGATGATGGATTCGGTAGTTCTCCATGTTTCCGCTCCATACAGTAGAACTGTCTTGACATTTGTATTGAAAATCCTGATTTTGATTTTGGTTGAAAGTTGTTTGGATTTCCAGATATTTTTCAACTGTAGAAATGCAGCCCTTGCTTTGCCGATCCGCGCTCTCACATCTGCATCGAATCCACCTTGATTGTCGATGATGTGTATCGATCACATCGTGTTATATCATCTTCATAATAAATAATTACAGGAAACAGGAACGAAAAAATTACTATTCAATACGAAGATGTAGTTGATTTGAAATGAAGTGATATATTTGTACTATCGCTTACTTGCATATATCTGTTACTTCTAATGGAGCATAGGCAGCTGATCAGCAAATTTTTTTTTTGGTTAGCGAGTCAGATTTCTACGGGATGGGTCCGCTAGCCTCTATGCCTATACCTCTTCTTTTATCCACCGGGCTTGGGATCGACAGTAACCTTAGAAAGCCTTTAGGTGGAGTTGTATTTGCATTGTATAATTTCGAATAATCTGATCACACACATGTACATTTGTCGAGGCATATAGACTATGAAAATTTATAAAAGGTCATTTAAATATTGTGACAATTTCTTTCTCGTTTATCATGTTTATTGATATGAACTTTCATTGAATTGACCTTTTTAATTAATTTTCATATAAAAAATGCATTGGCGTGTGTCCACGTGTGTGTCTGTGTGTTTGTGAAACAGATTGTTGGAAACGTGTAAAACGCAAATGCACATAATCGATTTTCAGGTCTCAAAGAAATAAACAACTTGTACGTTGAATGGACAAATAAAATCAGATTGTTGAAGTAAAAATAAGAATAGAAGACATTACCAGTGGAGTTCAACTCTGTCGGGTGTAGGTAGTAACTGCCAAAAACAAATGGATGAGGTTGCGCAGAATCCCTAGATGGACATTAACACTGTTGGATGCCAGCCTAGTGGTCCAGAGGTTAGGCATTCACGCGCAAGACCGAATGTCCTGAGTTGAAATTTTGTGAGTGGAGGAAATGGTGGATGCGCATTGCTGATTAGTGCCATACCAGGACGAAACGGCCGTCTTTCAGTGCTTCCAGGTTTCTAATGATATGGTCTAACAATGATTCGTTTATGATTTTAAGGTAAAAATAGAAAGATATTTGTTTCAAGACTACCATCCAGTTTTAATTTGTGATATTTCAAAATAGTTATCATACGATTACATTGTCCAACTGTTTACATTCTATTTATGTCATCTGAAATTAATGGATACTGTTTCATGTTCTAACCTTGACCGATATTTTATTAAAACCATGGATCGATCAGTTTTAGATCATCCTTAGAAGCCTGGAAGCACTGGACGGCGGTTTCGTTCTAGTATATTGATTCATCACAAATATACATCTATTTCAAGGCAATTATTCTTTGCATTACGGGTTTGTGAAGATTGTTAAGTTACACATTTTTTGAAACCATGAATCGATCAATGTTAGACCACCATTAGAGAAACCTGGAAGCACTGAAAGACGGATGTTTCGTCCTGGTATGGGACTACTCATCAGCAGTGCACATCCATGACTCCTGAACCCCCCACAGGATTCGATTTATAAAAAATTTTGATAGAACAGTAAGAAGTAGTAATTGATCTGAAAATAGGTGATGTATTTGCGTTATACATTTTGAACAATCTGGTCACACATACACACACTTGTCACGGCATTTTATATGACGATTAAATAAAGGTTCAAATGGAGGAGAGAGAGAAAATTAATGTAATATAGAAAGAATAAACATGATCATTAAAATGTGACATATGTTCAACTTAACGTCTATCCCTTACCTTACAATCAATCAGAAATGTGAAATAAAGGATCAGAGTTAGACATTAACATCGTCAGATACCGACTCAGTGGTCCAAAGGTTAGGCGTCGTTTGCGCATCGATACCGAAGGTCCTGATTTTGAATGCTGCGGGGGATTCAGAAGTCGTGGATGCGCACTGCTGATGAGTCCCATACCAGGACGAAACTGCCGTTCAGTGCTTCCAGGTTCCTAATGGTGGTCTAAAATTGATCGATTTATGGTTTTAAAAATGTGTAACTTAACAATCTTCACAACCCCACGTAATACAAATAAAGGATAGAAAGTAAATTGAACAGATTTCATTCCACCAAACTTGTTATACCCGCCTTTCAATGATCGCCTTTATTAATGTGCACCCGTTTGATAGTCAACGTTATTAGCGCTTGTGTCTTTTTTTCTATTCTGTGCTCTTTTTCAATCCCCCTTTTGCTCGTGATCTTATTAGTTTGAATTGAAGATCTGAAATATATGCATCTTAAATGTAAATGTTTAGTCAGGAAAATGATTTAAGCATTTAATCGTAGCACTATTGAGAGTTAATAAAAATCTACTTCTTTCATGACTGTTATACATTAAGATTGAAAAGTGTGATTATTATTATTATTAATATTATTATTATTATTATTATTATTATTATTATTATTATCCCACAAGTTATCGTCTACAAGTATGGGCATAAATGTAAACACCGAGTATCTGTAACTAATCAGTTTCTTCTCAGTTACTTGGTGTATAATTGAAATGGAGCATAGAGTTGATATCAAGATAAGATGTTAAACATTGTATAAAAATAAATGTTCAAGGGTGAATACTGAGGTTTACATAAGGCTTGGCCATTTTTGTAAATTCATACGTAAACACTTTGTCCTTAAGCTTGAATTTTTCCTGGTGATCTTTAGTATTCCATTTTATTGCCTAGGTTGATATGTTCTTAACCTCGAAATGCAAAATGTTGCTTCAAGACTGGGTTGCATCGGCACCTGAACTAGTGATAAGAAGTGAAGTAGTCGAACGTGTAGACCGCTTCACTTATCTTGGGAGTCTCATCAGCGCTGATAGCCTGGTGACTGACGAAATCTCAGCTCGGATACAGAAAGCTTGATTGGCTTTTGCCAACCTGCACCACTTATGGCGTAGGCGTGATATCCGTTCGATAACCAAAAGATGGATATACTGTGCAGCAGTTCGCTCCGTTGTCCTATATGGATGCGAAACATGGCCGTTAAGAGTAGAAGATGTTCTTAGGTTACTAGTATTCGATCATAGATGTTTAAGAAGCACTGCTCGTATATCGTGCGACAACCGAGTAAGCAATGCTGTCGTTAGGAAACTTCATCAGTTGAGATGGTTGGGACATGTGTTACGAATGCCTAACCACCGACTGCCTCGACCAGCTTTGTTTTGTGGTGTAGGAATAGGTTGGAAGAAAGTTAGGGGCGGCCAGACCAAAACATGGCAGAAATCCATGAAGTCATTGACGAGTGGACTGAGCCATGTCGGTAATTGTCGACTACCTGGTTGGGGTCCACGAGATGATAATAATCGATGGTTAGAGACCTTGAATGACATGGCTCAAAATCGTTTGCAATGGCGCAAGTGCATCCATTCTTTGTGCTCTCTCAAATCCTAATCTTCTAAATACGTCAGCACATCTACCTTTGTCTTTCTAACCTTATCTCACTGAATTATACTTCTTGAATAATAATATCTTCAAACCCTAGTCTTCTTCATTACCATTAATACCTCTACTATCTTTATCACTATGGGATTTGATTTGACATTTGCGTCTCTGTGTTAATAATGTGGTATGGCAACATGAACTTATGTACATACGTACGAAGTTCTACGTTGCAACTGACTGACTGACTGACTGACTGACTAGGTTGATATGACAATTTCCTATTCTTTCATGTTTTTCATTTTTTTCTCTCCCTTTTATCAACAATTATCACTTTGAATTTGCTTGAACTTTTATTCAATTGACCTTTTAATAATAATAATTTTCATATAAAATGCCTTGACAAGTGTACACGTGTGTGTGTGTGTATGTGTGCGTGACAAGATTATTCGAAATGTATGAGGCGCAAATACATCACCTCATTTCATTCAGATCAACTCCGTCTTTGTATTGCAGAGCAGTTTTTATTCGCTCTGGCTACCTTTAATTATTTATCGTGAAGAGGATATAACAAAAGGAGAATTGTGTAAATTGGTTCATCTTTTTTCAAGGTTACTTAACTATGTGTAAATATAGGCTCACCAGGAATAGAATTAAGAGACAAAATGGTGCTCATATGAAATGATTTTTTTTCAGTTATTCACTCATTTTGGTTAATAGTCAAAGGTTCTCATTTTCGTGTATACTAGTTTCTAATGGTGGTCTAACAATGATTGATTGATGATTTCAAATGTGTAAAAACACAAACCTCCAAAACTCTGCCCCCCAAAATATCGTAACAGTGCTCACTAGTGACTACTAGCTTCGTGAGGAAATTCTCGGAGTTCTAGTTGAGAAGACGTGACCAGTAGAGTTCAACACTGTCGGGTGTAGGCAGTAACTACCAAAGACAAATGGGTGAGGTCGCGCAAAATCCCTACCTAGATCAATCAGAGTTAGATATTAACACTGTTGGATGCCGGCCCAGTAGTCCAGAGATTAGGCGTTCGCGCACAATACCAAACGTCCCGTGTTCAAATCCTGCGAGGTGCAGGAGTCGTGGATGCGCACTGCCACTAATGAGTAGTAGTCCCATACCAGGATGAAACGGCTGTCTTTCAATGCTTCCAGGTTTCTAATGGTGGTCTAACTGTAGTGAAAGAGAACACAGGTGGGGCAACCGAATTGTATTTAACGAAAATTACACAGTTACTCAGTAAAATCGAAAAAACCATATAGGAAATCGTTCATTTGCAAAATAACAGTTCATCATATCGAACTGGACTGTTCCTGTTGCAAAACATCAATCCATTGTCACTCACTATTCATGCGTTTCATACAAATTCCATTGTTTTTTAACTCTTCCTTTCTTGATCTTCCCCCATCTTCTGCTGCGCCAGATATTACGTGGACACTCACGTCATATACTACTTATAAGTAGCTCGCACCACAGCACCACATAACAATGATTGATTGATGATTTCAGAAAAATTTGTAATAACACAAACCTCCAAAACTCTGCCCGAAAATATAGTATGTATATCATAAAACTCACTGATCTATAAACCTATCCACATAATGTAACTATACTGGTTTTCATTTTTAGAATTTAAAAATCCTTCTTGAAGCCAATTGTTAATAAGACGATATCTAATGTTCATGAATTAACCTGACGAGTATTAGTTCAATAAGTAACCAGATTTCAACATGAATTATCACAGATTAGAGATTGTTTCATGTTTTCGAAAAATCTCTAATGAAAATTCATTTTCAAAATTAGGGGTCATCATCAAACATTATACACTGTTAATAAATCCCATACATACTACCATTAAACGTACACTCAATACTTTGAACTTTCCGCTAAGGAGATTGAACATTGATCAAATTCAAGATTTCGAATGAATTTATTTAAAAAAACAGCAGAACATTTTCAAATACTAATAATCATTATCATTATATATAGTATGATTTTTTCAATTTTATTTATCCTTTTCTTTTTAAAAATTTTTATTATCTTAAAAACCAATTTTTTTTTCCCTACTTTTTTAAAATATCTCAGCATTGATACAATATCAGTAGTGAAAATATTACGAGTATCTCGTGTTCTACGACCATTAAGAGCAATTAATCGTGCAAAAGGTTTAAAAGTAAGAATTGTTTTGTACATTTTGCATTAGTTAACTATTTTTGAATCCTTTTTTATATTTATTTCCTGTTGATTTGAATATTTAACGAGAAAAAAAATACTGGTGTGAAGAAATTATTTTTAATAAAAATTAACTGTTAAAATAAACAT